CATTTTGCAATGTAATAGTATTTGTTTAACTTTCAATATTGGTAGAATATTACGCACTTAGTGTGCGGAATGTTGGCGCCCCAGTAATCTTAAGCACTTTCTTGCTACTGAAAGTGTGTGCTATCGAAAGACAACTTTTTGCAAGTCGAACGGCCGATCAGATTTATATGACTGATATGCCAAATTAATCTTTATTGTTATCTGCGTATGTTTAACTTTCTTTTATCTGAGTCATCGCCTTGAAAAATTTGACAAATGTTTCAGATGAAAGTCATCAGAAGTCGGAAATAAAAAAGCTAAATTTCAAAAAAGACCTCAATTTAGGTATACTAAATGTCTTGATTTATGGCCTGTATTAATGCTAACACAAAAACCTCATTTTTAACAACATACGAACAAGGAACTCCGTGACGCATCCTATAACAATGATACGCAGCACACGCATTCAATACCAATGTCTATGCTTGATACGAATATTAAACTTCCGATCCGAAACGCTTCTGTCTCATTAAGGAAAACGTGCACACGAGTATCGTTTAAATTCTCTAAGGAGCAAAGGTTGAATTGGCGTGAAAGAAAAACGTGCTGCTCGGAAAGCATGTGCGAAACGGTAAGTTTACAAACAAATAAATAAGAAGGAGTCTGTTTATACAACATTTTCACGCGGATTTTGTTGCGTTTGTGTTCCGGATTCGGATGATAGTTATCGCCGGTGTCCGGTGAAAACGACAAATTCCGTTAACCGAGTTATCCGTCGCAAGTGGAGCGAGTGTCAGGTAAATAAGTCACAACTTGGCATGGTCGCGACATTAATTGTGCAATCCGTCAAAGTCAGATATTATATTATCAGCTTTTATGTAATTTTGATCAGTAGCTTGCAATGTCAACTGGAATTTCTCTGAAGTTGTTTTTACTAGAGGAAGAAAGTTATTGGTACTAAATCTGCAAGTAGACCAATGAGGTTGTACCTCGTTTTGCACCTCAGACATTGTATTTTATAACAAAAAGTACGGTAAAAACCTACATTTCGGTTAAATTAGGCTAAATGCATATTTTTAAAACACCATAACATCCAAATCAAAACACAACAACCTCTTTCAATCTTCGTCAAACCTTCAACGAGCTGAGGTATTTTTAAATTTCACAAAAAAAGTAAAGAACAAAACGTTTTCCAAGATTAATTGGATCATCACTTAAACGTGGCTGAGGAAAACACTTAATACCTCTTTTTGTAGATATCTTACGAATACAGTAAGAACAAAAGTGGGCTAAAACTCTGACGCTAATGAGACGAAATTACGACCACAGATTATAAGATTGTAAAGATGTTTGTGATATAAAAAAAGTAAATGGAAGCTATCGTTTCAAAGAGGCGTGACTGTACTAGGAGTTGGAATTCTCATAACATACGTTGAAAAATGTGTTTGATTACTTAGGTATTTAACGTGATTTTTGCATGAAGCTTTCATGGCGTAATAATAATCGCATCGAGATTTTAAAAAAAATCGACGATCGCTTAAGCTAATATTTTTTGACGATTCAAATGACCGTGTAATATGAAGCATTTGATTGTTTTAGCATTTTACGTATTTACGTAAAAATTTTGAAATGCAAATAAACGCTGAATATGAAAGTAGTGCAAAACCAGTTTCTAGGAATCAATTTGCAGGATAAGTGATAAATATAGTGTATTAGTAGGTACAATCGGATATATCTCAATACCAATACAGCCTATAGGCGGAATCGGTATCTGTAAATTATCATACATCATGGACACAACACGGTCATTGAGCGTGAGTCCGCTACTGGATCAATTCTTAATTAACATCACGTCTTTTTATCTCCGAAGGGGTAGGCAGAGGTGTACCTTATGGCACTCAATGCCACTGTACAATGTAACACCCACTTTTCACTATTTGTGTTATGAGTCCGATGCAATAGGGGGTGACCCTATTGCCATATACCGGGCATATTCCAGAGTCTGTGCTGTTTCAAAAACCAGTAATACTTTACCCAACTCGGGAATCGAACCCGAGACCCCTAGCCCGGCAGTCGCACTTGCGACCACTCGGCAAACGACGCAATTCTTAAATCTTCGACATTGAGAACACAATTGTGACCGATTCGATAAGGTTTAATAGAAAACATAAATGTGTCAACCCCATGTAGCTTGTGACAGAGGTAAGGATAAGCAAAAGATGGCGTTGTAAACAATACAATATACTAGGTCAAAGTATTCTTAAAATTTTAGTAAGATTGCATTTATCGAAGGAAAAGCATTGGTCAATGACATCACGTACAAAGCGAGAGTTAATTAAGAAATGACTGTGAATTCGAAAAGTAAATAAATTAGCAAAGAATTTGCAATACTTTTGCTTTTTTATTGTACGGTAAATCAGATTGTTTATGCGCTTTTTAATGACGTAAAGATTATTCCGTTTATAATCATTCTTCAATTAAGTCATCAGGTTTAACTCAGAAGATAGTTAAGGCAAAAACGAAAGTAATTCAAATAAGAAGAGTTTTGAGTTATGGCATGTTGTTGTCAAAATATTATAACTTGGTAAGATTGATACACAACAGATGAAAGCATAGTTAATGCAAAGACATTAAGATAATACACTAGTCAGTCTGCAAAATAAATGAGGTATTCCTCGTAGCGCTCCCGTTTTGAAGCGCGCCCATCTAAGCGCTCCCGTTTTATTCCTCTAAGCGCTCCCAAAAGGAGCGCTCTGAGGAACGATTAAAAATATTAAAATTTATTTCCTCGAAGCGCTCCCATGATTAACTTTCGGATAGAGATGGGACTTTACTAATTGAAATTATCGATAAGAACTAGGTAATAAGTAGAACACATTGTTATGATATACAACTAGCAGCCAATAAAACAATAAAAAAATACGATAAAACAAAAAAATAATAATTACCAAAGACGTGCGAAGCCGGGCCGCAATTAGAGGAATAAAACGGGAGCGCTTAGATGGGCGCGCTTCAAAACGGGAGCGCTACGAGGAATACCTCAAATAAATGTTCCATGTTTTTTAATGTTATCGTAGCAAGGCTAGATGCCAATGAGATTATACTAACTAAATATACAAAAACCTTTTTTCTATTCCTAAGTTACGCATTATATTCCAAGTTATCACACACGCGACACAAGTTCACGCCCGCACTTTTTACCGCTCGCGTGAATCAATCTGATCCGTGTTTCATCAAGTTGTACTTCAATTACTGAGTCTCTGAACTAATGAAAGGTAGATCTGTCTAACACAAGAACATTTCCCATAGAAAATCACAAATCCCATTAAAACAATAGGCTTAATACACAGTTATAGTGCACATATCCTTTGTTTATTCTTTCAATTATCTAGATGCTGACTTCAATATACTTGGAGACTCGATTCTGTGCTAAAATGAGTCTATGAAAGTGTGCGAAAATCGTATTTAAATATAGAGTCGATAACGGTCCGCAGAACGTTAGCTGACGATCCATAGATAAAGATCATTAGAAGAACTTTATAGCTTTTCTCCGATTTACGAGGCATTTGCGTAAATTATCTTCATATTATTGTGGAGATTAAACGTTTATTTTCTATATAAGTCGGTATACTTAACAGTATTGGCACGGTCGTTAAGTATTTCGCTGTATTGTCCTTTTGTCAGGTAAATGCTTGCTAGTATTTGTATGACTTTAAGTTCAGACATGAAATGAATTTCCATTAACATTGGAATATTGAAATAAGTTTAGACGACGTCAGTGAAACTAAAATTTATTATTGGGCATTATTGGTATTACTTAGCACTTACGATTATGTATAATATACAATAGATATTGTGATTATGCTTAAAGAAATACTGTTCCTTCCAAAAACTTTTTTATGCAAAAAAGTCTGCTACAATAATTGAAATCTAAAATACTGTGTCAAAAGTTCGAATTTAATGACGGTTCTTGAAAATCGAGGCAAATGATGACAAGGCATCACTGACCTAAGTAGACCCCATAAACTTGGTTCCAATAACCCAGTGTGACTTCAATAATGACCGCTGACCTTAAAAATAGATTAGCTGGCTAGTCTGGAAGATGAAACAATATTGGATATTAAATGGAGCGTACAGAACGGCCTCAGCCGAGCATTACACGGTTTGTGGTGAAGCATTTTTGATACAAATTCAGAGGACAGACGTGCATCGCTGTACCCAAAGTGAATTTCAACGGCTCTGATTGGATAACGGTACTGGGTGCCATATTGATAAACCACAGGGAAAATATACGCGAAAAATCGATTGTACCTCAAAATCTAAACTCATTTGCTTGATTATAATACCGCATCATGCACTAATGTAACGGAACAGAATATTGGCTACCCAGTACACGTGGCACGAAGATTAATTAGTCTATTAGTTAGAACGTTCGTGCAATATCTTACTCGAGGAATTTATTAGGTTGCACATTAATTACCTTTGCTGAATAGTTTTCTGTAAATACCGTTTCAACTTGGCCTGACATTTATGAATGAATAAACATACAAAGTTATGCTTTGTAATTCATCTGAGAACTTTCTTTTCTTTTGATTACCTATGTATAAGAACATGGGTTTACAACTATAAGATATATTGTTGTTTCGGTTTAACATGGCTAACATGTGTAAATAAACATTTTTTCTCTCTATAACCAACCTTTCTATGTTAATCCGTGTAATGTAATATTCCGTATTTATATTAGCAAATCAAATTCGCAGGTGCGTAAAGACGTTAATTAACGACCTTTGCAGCAACTGTATTGTAAATTACCACCCTTACATAACGTTATTCCATAATTGCATATTACGCAATCACCTATACATAACGTGAAGATGCGCGAAGTATAATAGAAAAAAAGAAAAAGAAAATTGAACAGGAACTACAGCGGCTGCATCTGCTGCGTTGTCCGTAGGGCGGAATGAACTAGGTGAACGGTGGCGGGTTCTCTTCAGTGGAGGCGCGCGCGCAGTCCCGCTTGCATCGTCGTCGCGGCCGCACGCGCACGACGCGCCATGAATCGTTCGTTGTTCGTAGTCTTCGCGCTCGCCGCCCTCACCGTCATCATCACCGCCGATGACCCACCGCGACCCCGGCTCATAGACTTTAACCCTTGGGCATGGCTACCCTCAAATCGAAACAGATCACCCTCAATTATGGATTATTTCTTCCCCCCATCCCGAACACCTAAACAGTCAAACCTTGACCCTCCCGCTGACCGTACACCCCCTGAGACTACATCTCACACGATCGAAAATACTCCAGCACCGACCACACTCGAAGAACGCTCTACCACTTACGCGAAAAAAATATCCACTAAAACAAAATCAACCGCACCCGTGACAAACCCGACCGCTACCACGCCGCCCAAAACGAAAAAATCCACCCGTAAGCCTATCACGGTTACAACGACCGAGATAAAAACTACGCAAACTAAAACCGAGGCTCCCGCGTCGACTACGAAAGATGCGACCGTGACTACGTACAAGCCGCCGACCAAACATTACACGATCCGCCCGGTTGTGCGAACTACGGAAACCCCTACGGTTCAAGATACGGAAACTACGCTGAACAGTGACAGCACGGAGACTGTGTCTGATTTTGAAACTGCTGGAACAACGGTCGACGGGCCGAAAGATACAGCTCCAACGCTGAGCACGGCTGAAGAGTCCCGGTCTACGGACGCTGGTACCGCGAGTACAGCTACCGTGGAGTCCACCACACCGACGGACAGCACGGAGCCAGCAGACAGCCGCGAGGGATATCTTCCACTCCGTGACAAACCTCAACAGACCCACGTTAAGATCAACGAGCAGACCAAGAAAGAGGTCAGTGATTTAATACTATTCTCTTTTTATATAAATTGTTCACAGTCTAATAGCTACAACTTTCCTAGTCTCTGTCGCCACCTTGTTTTCTCGAGAGATCGTAAATTTCTTTAAGCTAGGTAAGGCGATACATAAATATTCGTAGCGCTGACCACTTGATAGGTGTACAATGTGTGATACAAAAGCTCTTTTCGATACAGCTTGAGAGCTAGCCGCGGATGGTGAGTGCACATAAATTCGTGCTAATGAGCCCTTAGAGAAAGGTTGCTGTGCATTCACCAGCTCTAAGCATGTTCTCACATTAGCCGTGCAAATTGCTATGAATTATTTATTTCCTAGAAACCCGATGAAGTGCATTACGATTGTAAAAAAGAGAACAAGAACACATTGTGTTACGCCCTGTGACTATATGTAAACTAAATTATTACACGCTGATAGTCGTTAGATAGTTTCTATTGCACAGTAATGGTTAATAATGAACGTTTAAATCATTCCCACTAATCATCGCTTGAATTAAATGCTAAGTAATACTTTGAAATAAAAAAATAATATACGCGTTGCAAGGAAATTAGTTGCTTTTATTTGAAGAACATACATTTTTAATTATAGTACCTAAGAACGCATCACGAAGTACTAAATTAAGCATAAAGAAGTTATACTGTTGATAATGAACTTAAAACATTCGAGCAATGCGCTCTAACAATACACCGTGCACCGTCGTAAATTACTGTTTGTACTTAAAATATGTAGAAATGGTTTCTCAAACAAAACAGAAACCGCAAATTGTTTAGTATACATTTTATAAAATAAATAATTAGTTAAGATTGCCTAAAACTGACGTTTATAGTGCACTAGCGACCCGCCCCGGCTTCGCACGGGTGCAATATGCATGTATTATACATACAAACCTTCCTTAAGAATCACTCTATCTATTAAAAGAAACCGCATCAAAATCCGTTGCGTAGTTTTAAAGATCTAAGTATACATACGGACATACAGCGAAAGCGACTTTGTTTTATACTATGTATTGATAAGAATTGCCCAAAACTAGTAAACGAGTAAACTCATACTCGACGAGTAAGACCAAAGTTGTCAGCCTAATCTGCATAATTACCATTTTTAATCCACTGGATTATTATAAACTACAGTAAAATATTCAATATTCAATATTTGTAAAATGCCATAACACCTCAGATGCCGATAAAAATAATTTTGCATAAAACCCATCAACTTGTAATTGAACAAAAACTGAAACAATGGATTCCATTAAGTTAATAAGAACAAAGTAATTATTGAGTAAATTTAAGAATTTTCAATCATTTGCTACATCTAGAGATTCAACAAAAAATAAGCACTGGACAAATGAAAAATTTAACTCCTTGATGATAAATTATAGTGATGTTCTTATTATTCGATTACTTTTCTTTGGATAAAATATAAACATTCTGTAGTTTCGCATAATGGGCAATTTTTGCACTTACAGCATAGGAAATAATAAAGTTGAATAAATATTGACATCATTATGAGTATGGCCATGCAGCGCAATAGAATTTCACATCGATTAACATTTTTTTGCCAATACATAGACAAATATAAAAAAGTTAATAGAGAAAGCACTTAAGATTCGGAAAATCACAGACAATGCACAAAAAATTGTTCAAAATCATATTGTGGCGGTACTTTCCTATCATTAGCAGGTTTGTGGTCTTTTCTAACTGTGGTGGAAGCCCGCAAATTTTTGGATAGAAACAAATTTATTGTGGACAGAGACACCTTACAATGTGAACTTTCACTGTTAGACAGTCTGAACCATCATTGGTCATGAGAGAACAATTTCTAATGCCTTGATGAATTGGATTTACCCGCTAATCGCTTTTCAGAACAAACCTGCAAGCATAATGCACCTTCATTTCTTGGGCATTACTTCGCTAGACCATTATACTTCGTCTAGAATTACAGTCCTCGGACAAAAGCTATTCAAAATAGAAATTGCATCGTATTACTAGCGTTAATTCAGTTTATATTTTTATTATTCGAAAGTAAAATAATTTAATGTAGATAAGTACAAGTTTTGTGTATCACGAACGATGAGTAGTCATGCTTAGCATCTTGTGTTTCTGCAAATTGATGAGTAGAACATCGAATAGATAGAAAGGCAAAACAATTACCGTAAGTGAATTACGTTTATTGTCGAAAGCTTGTGTTTGATGGTTCCTGTGCAAAATTAGCATGTTTAATGAGGTTGCTTCTATAGTAGTATAGTAAAAGCTGATAGTAATGAGTTTAAGTTAGGTGTAATGATGAATGTCTACCATTCCTTTCCAAGATTTCAAATCTTGAACGTTTACCACATCAACAGCCTGTAAGTGCCCACTGCTGAGCAAAACCTCTTCTCACAGACAGTTAATGAACAGTAGATATATTCGAACCCGGTATACCACATGTTTGCCGTCACATGGTACTAAGTAAAAAAAACGATTGAAAAATCAAAAACTATATTAGCTAGTGTAGAACTTCAAAGAAATATAAAACGAACATCTTAAGTAAGAAGTTAAAACATAAAAATAAATTCACCCCTATACATAAAGCTATTAAAGTTGCATTTTAAATTCACCGTTGTTAGGCGCCACCGGGCAGATCTAACGGACTCGTGGATACGATGCGTCTGCACCGACGGACGTTCAGCTATTTGCATTTTAGTATCGTTTATCCATAATAAACGCGACTATCTGCCGGCGCAACATCGTTAGCTTTTTAATACCCTCGTGTCGCTGTTACAGGAAGATTTTTTTAATTGTATAAAGGTATTTACTTCATTAACTGTTTATTGGATAACTTTGATGTAATAGAAATACAGTCTCTATCTATCGAGAGTTAATTAAAAATAGTAGTTATCGTCCTGGTTTTCGTTTTCTAGTCTTAGCGTAGGCGTAGCTTAAGTCATATAGGGTAGGTTTGCCTGTTCGTGTCCACCCACCAGTGCGTTCCATGTAACGGAACGATCTTTAAGGTTTTGACTGCCAATAAAAAACTGTTGAAGGCAAATGTTCCGCTAAAGTCGGGCACCAGTGACTCCCATGGCGTTTAATGTGTTAAAAATGAGAAAACTATCACCGTATGAGTAGTATTTAGTACACATCTGTTTGAGTTTTGCACATTTTAAATATCTTACATTCAATGCAATTCGTAAAATGGAAATGGCTGAAGTATTTCATTCTTTATGATTTAGGGTCAAACATTTTGCTATAAGAATATCATCTTATGAATACTTCAGTATAATAAGTACGTGATCAGAAGTAATGACTGTATACACAAGCCTATTGTAACGCCGATACACACGATCAAAGAATTTAATGTTGGGAAAGGTCTTCATCTCCTCTATTAAGGTCGTTTACATTTCTATGTAACATAAGCTTTATTATGTTTGTTCAACTATAAGATTATCCACAAAGATACAGTAGGCTTCATAGAAAAAACTGCGGTAAAGCATAACTTTAACATTTTATAACAAATACTGTTAGGACAACTAGCGGTGCTGAAACTTTGTATTGTTTAGTACAGATTTCTCTATTGAAAACCACACAATGGAAGGCAGACAACACATGGCTTTTGAACTCGTGATATTTATATCACAAACGTAGCATAAATCATACCGTGCTAGGAAATGAGTTTACAAGATGGAATATTTAAGTAAATGTGTTAGGTAGAACTATGCGATAGCTATCTGTGCAATAGGTCAAATAAAAACAAAAGCAGCTCCCACACAAATAAACTAATCACTCGTGCAAGGGCAGAAAAAGAAATCAAAATCAAACAAAATCATATTTCCATTGCACCGCCCTCAGATACGCACGATCAGTCAAAGATGAAATTTCAAAAAGCAAAACGTAACGAACTCATAATTGCCTGTTTAATTCAGAGCGAATCGAAAGGAACCAAACAAATCTCACTTTCGCGAATAAAATTAAATGAATCATCAAAAAGGTATCGATGTTACTAATCGTGTCTAATTAATCAGTACGCATTACTAGTAGAAAGTTTAGACGGATCTGAAGAGAAAGGGGCAGTACCTTAGGAATTGTGAACAGGGAACTAGGTTGGAATACTCGTAAACATGAATTGCGCTTAGCTGAGAGTGTTTCATGAGAGAAAACGTTTTTGTTGAATACGTATCGTAGTATAATATTTATGATATGATAATAATACATCGAGCATCATAATACAAGCTTAGCACATCAGTCAGCTTGGGCGGTCCTTAAATATTCATTCGTTGATCAATAGTATCCGCATCATGCAAATATACTTTGAGTTTATTCTATCGCCGAATCAGACGTTCAAAATCGATTGGATACATCGTATTCTTCTGCAAAACTGTTGGTTGAAAAGAAAAAGACTATATAACCAAAATACAAGCGACTAGCGAAATAAACAGTAAAATGAGGTTGATGTAACATTGTCTACAATTTTATAGACTTCACCGTGTCCAATTTTATTTTCATCAACACAGTCGAACTTTTCATCGCCAACTTATGTAAGCATGTAATCTTTACATAATACAATGCGTATCGAATCATTATTTTCTTTTGCGACAGTTTTGGATCGTTTCGCTTATTAGAGACAGCATTAGATATTCATGCCCGACATTCTTACGATTAAATCATGTATTGCACAACCGACTGAATACTTAACAATCGCGAATAGTAATTCAATTCGTACAATAAAATAAGAGAAACACATTCCTCTCTTTATTGGAAGTGAAATCCGAGAGAAGGAACATAATTACAGTGCTGACAGTGCCTTGATCGTTAAACCATTAAATACTGCGTTATTGTAATTAAAAAAAACATTAATAAGGTGTCATTTATTAATAAAGAAAACTGCGTTATGAGTTGGTGCGATGGATACATTTGCATATAATTAGAGCGAGAGTAGCTACATATCGGAATATCGGATTATCGAGTGAGCTACATCGGTGCGATCCGATTACCGATATCATTACT